TTTTTTTTTTTTTTACTTAATCTCTTTTTTTTTTAATTGATTGATTGATTGATTGATTGGTGGGAAAGGGGTCGCCCTTCTGCCCCGCGCGCACACACACACACACACACACACGCGCGCGCGCGCGGGGGTCGAGCCTGCTGTTTCATTTTTATTATTATTATTTTTTTCTTTGTTTGATTGATTGATTGATTGATTGATTGGTTGGTGGGGAAGGGGTCGCCATTCCCCCCAGCACACACACACACACACACACACACACACACACACACACACACATGAAAAATAAAAGTTTTCCTTTTTTTAATTATGTTTCTTCTGATTTAAATGCTTGTTTTTTGGTTTTTTATTTTTAAAAAATGAAAAAACACTTCATAATCCAGAACGAAAAATATACGCTTGTAGGTATCTTCAAACCCTACAACCCCATTTTTTTTTTGGTCCATTAGTTGTTTTTTTTTTAAATGGATGAAATTGTCGGCCGCACCCAACCGCAGGGGCCATGGCCTGCGGTCGGGATCCTGGCCGCGGGTGAGATTGACCCCGCGGTCATGACCGCGGGGGACTCATAGGTGTCAATACCACGACCACAGGTAAGTACCGGCCCTCTCGCAGGTCACACCCACACTCAAACCGACAACCACTCAGACAGGCATGCATACCAGCAAGCACGCACATACTCAGACTTAGAAAACTCAGCAACAAGCGAGATACTCAGCAAGGCATGCGCCCATTGGCAAAACTCGGAAATCAGTTGTGTGTCTGAGTCCGTGTTTGGAAGGTCCTAACACTACCCCCCTCTCAAGAGGGAGGTCCCTTCAAGCAAGTAACTCATTTTGAGTCCCCGACAAACGCGTCGTAAGCAAACATACCGAAGAGATTATGTGAGTATTCGGTAGCAGTGAGCTTTGCAAAGATTTTGGGAACAACATCTGAAGCTATATGTCGTTTGTATGCTTTCACAAAGCGAGGTGCGCTGTGCAGCAGTTCCATTTTAGAGATCCAATAAAGGTCGTCCAACAGGTCGTACATGAAATGAACCTGATATTGTCTGTTACGTCCCTCCCCGATGTGATTTTAATTTTATCTATCTCGTGACCGCCATTGATTGCACAAGGGATCATGTTCTCACGATATTTGAAGGTTTTAGCATCGTGATATATAAACAACTTTGACGCGTGAAAGAATGGGTACGTGCGCAGATGAGAAGGCACAACAATTACATATGAAGGACCGAACTTATCATCACCAATCACGTCCAGAACTTCCCATGGACCATAATAGAGAGGGAGAAGTTTGAGTGACACCTCCTCTACATCCGAAAATTCAGACATCTTGACCCAGACAATGCAGACATAACTTCCCACTTTGATCGACCGAAGGTGTGCGCTTCTTATTCACATGATGGATCATGGTGTGTTGTCTCGCTTGGTCATTGCTGCAATGGCAACTTTGAGCAAGCAATCATACTTGGCGCTGAAATCAGGCCTACCAGAAGTTAGGCCAGCCGCCTTTTCAGGGGATAAGCAGGAGAGGTGATTACGGATATGCCAACTGTTATGCAGCCTGTTTAGCGTCTTGCCGGTCTTAGACGGCCATCCTATGCCACAGCTAAAATGCACGCCCGCCTTCACTTACGGCGGGCACTTCCTGGCCTTTCCGGTTTTGCCGAGGGCCTGGATCCTCGCAAATATTCAAGTCACAGTTAATGCTTTGCGTCTACACAAGGAAGAGAGAGAGAGAGAGAGAGAGAGAGAGAGAGAGAGAGAGAGAGA